AAGCAATTCACTATTGCTTCTTCTTACATATACTCCATATTCAGTTGTGCACTTCACAAATTTCTTCTCCCTTAGGAAACTATCAATTTTCTTATTCCAAGCTCTTGGAGCTTGTTTCAATCCATACAAGGCTTTATGCAGCCTGTACACCTTTCTTTCTTCGTCATGTTTCACAAACCCAACTGGTTGTTTAACATAAACTTCTTCGTCTAAAGGTCCATTCAGGAATGCACACTTTACTTCCATCTGACATATGTGCCATCTTTTTATTTCTGCTAGACAAATAACCAACCTGATTATTTTGATCCTAGCAACAGGTGCAAAAACTTTATCAAAGTCTATTTCTTCTTTCAGTAAAAATCCTTTCGCCACAAGCCTTGCTTTGTGTCGAATTACTTCCCTTTTCGAATTCGTTTTCACTTTGTATACCCACTTGACATCAATTGCCTTCTTGTCTTGAGGCAATTCGACAAGTGACCAAGTGTTGTTGTCTTTGATAGACTTCACTTCTTTGTTCATTTCTTTCACCCACTTTGAATCTTTCAATGCTTTAGCTGCATTGACAGGTTCGAGATCTGCATAGAAATCATAATGTACCAACTCACCTTTATTATCTATCACATCATCTAATGTAATCACACAATCTTGTAATCTTGCAGGCATGCGTCTTGTTCTTTGAGGCCTGCTTGTACTTGGTTGATCTATAGCTGCTGGTTTCTCTTGTCGAACTTCTCTTTTGACTTGAGTCTCTAGTTCTTCAAGTAGGATTCCCACTGAATATTTCGTAACATTTTCAATCCAATCCCATTCTTTAAGCTCATCTATGATCATATCCCTTATGATCACAATCTACTTATTCACTGGGTCGAAAAACTTGTAACCTCCTGTCGAATGATATCCAACTAGAATCATTTGACTTGACTTGTCATCAAGTTTTCTTCTCAACTGATCTGGCACATGTCTATGTGCAATAGATCCAAATACCTTTAGATGGCTCAAGCTAGGCTTAACACCAGATCAACATTCTTCTGGAGTAATTCCTTCTAGCTTCTTCATGGAATATCTGTTCAAAATGTATGTTGCAGTCGAAACAGCTTCACCCCAAAACTCTTTAGGTAAATTCTTGCCTTTCAACATACTTCTCACCATATTCATGATGGTTCGATTCTTCCTTTCTGCAGTTCCATTATGTTGTGGAGTATATGGTGGCACCACCTCATGCATAATCCATTACTTTTCACATAACATGTCGAAGTCTTTCGACGCATACTCTCCACCACTACCAGTTCTCAAAACTTTGAGTTTTTGACCACTTTGCCTTTCGACCATAGACTTAAACTTGGCAAATACCTCGATCACTTCACTTTTCTTCTTGATCAGGTAAGTCCACAACTTTTGACTGAAATCATCTATGAATGTAACAAAGTATTTGTTACCTCCCATTGAATCCACCTGGATTGGTCCACATACATCAGAGTATATGACTTCAAGAATAACTTTCGACCTGCTTCCCGCATCGTTGTTGAAACTATTCTTGTGCTGATTCGCCTGCACACATTCCTCACATACCTCATTTAGAATGTCGATTTCTAGAAATCCTAAAACCATATTTCTTCTTTTCAAATCTCTGATGTCTCTAAAGTTGAGATGGCCTAGTCGATAGTGCCATATACATTCATCTCTGCTAGCTGCAGTTCAAAGGTACTTGTGCTCTATCACATTTAGTTTGATCTTAAAGGTTCTATTTTGAGACATAGGAGCCTTCAAGATCAATCTTCCATTTGCGTCGACAACTCTCATTATCTTATCTTTGATCGACACTTTATAATTCGTTTAAACCAACTGCCCTATACTGAGAAAATTGTTCTTCATGACTGGTATGTACAACACATTGAAAATTACTGAGCTCTTGCCATCTTTCCTCATAATCATAACATCACCATTATCTTCAGCTGCTAGGGTATTGTCATTTTCAAATTTTACCATATTTTTCATTAAGGGCTTTATGTTGATAAACCAGTATTTCCTTCTAGACACATGTGATGAGCATCCTGAATCCAAGTACCATTGGTCCTTGAATCTATCTTCATCTCTTGTTGTGACCATCAGCATTATCTATTCTTCTTCATGTTTTGCAAACTTTGTATCACTTTCTTGATTCTTTCACTTTTCTGGACAATCACTCGAATAATGGCCATACTTATGACAATTGTAACATTGAATGTGACTCTTATTAGGTTTTCGACCACCACCTCTTCCTCTATTTGCAACACCACATCTTTGGTTGCCTTGGTATGATCTTCTTTGATTCGACTCATTTCCTTCGTTCTGGTTTCCTCTACCAGTCGATTTGTTGTAGCCACCTCTACCTCTGTCGAACCACTTTCCTTTATCATTGGTTTCTTTTTTTGAATGTGCCTGCAAAGCCACATCACTCTTCGACTTCCCTGCAACTCTTTCATTCATTCTCTGTTCATGAGATTCAAACGTCCCTTGAAGCTCTTCCTTTGTCAATTTCGACAAGTCTTTCCCCTCTTCTATAGCCACCACCACGTGGTTGAACTTAAGAGCCAAAGATCTCAAGATCTTTGAAACAACAGCTCTTGTTGTTAATGTTTCTCCACATGCCTTGATTTGATTCACTAGTTTTGTAACTCTAGTGAAGAAATCAGATATGCTTTCACTATCTTCCATCTGAAGCAATTCATACGTTCTCTTGTGAGTTTGTAACCTCACTTCTTTCACCTTTTCTGTACCACCAAAGGACTTCTCAAGAACATTCCAAGCTTCTTTTGCAGATTCTGAATCACTCACTTTTTAAAAAATTTCTGGACTCACACATTGATGAATTATAAAAGAGTGTTTTATAACTCAGCTTCTCAATTTCTGTGTTTCTCCTTTTCTTCTTCTGAAGCATTTTCTCCAAGCGCTTCGAATCCATCTTTTATAAGATTACAAAGACCTTGACACCTGAATAAAACTTTCATCTATTTGCACTAATTATCATAGTTGTCTACTTTAGAATTGGTAGAGTTGTTGGATAATTTGCATTCCCATAATTTTCCATTGTGAATTCTTTTTCTTCCTCAATCGTTCTTGCTCGATACTTCTCTTGAATCGAAACCGAGCTCTTGATACCAGATGTTGGAAACCCACCAAATATTTATGATGAATTTCTACACAATGACAATAAATTATAAGAAAGAAAAGAAAAGAAAGAAGACAATTATTTTCTGCAGAGTTTCTCTCTGCCCATAAACTGTGGAAAACTTTGTTATTCATTTTGCAACTGCAAATTCCGTGAATACAACTTAATTGACTTGATTACAAAATTAGGGGTTACTCCCTCTATTTATAGATTTATCTTGCACCCTAAACCCAAATCTATAAAAGCGCAAAATACCTATTTTGGTACTAAATCAAATCTATTCTATTTTAGATCTAAATCAAATCTATTTAAATCTAAAATAAATCTAATCTCTTCGACACATAGTTTCGACACTATGAATTATAATTTAACACAACCAAGAGAAAATTTGAAGAATATGTTTCTCAATATTACAGGTATCAGTTAAACACTATCTGGTTTATGTTAATGACAATCTGACTGGTTTATGTTTAATTGCATTCTGACTTGCAGGAAGAGTAAATTCAAGAACATTTACTCACACATTATTTATCCTACTAATGGTCTACAACTGTGGCTTTTGGATGTGTAGTTCATTATGAATTCACTAGTTATGAGAAGGACTATTGGATGAGTTTCTTGATCCTGCGGGTTGATCATTTTATATTTATTTTTTAGCTTAATTATAATTTTGATCCCCTATTTTCATCTTTCTTAAGTTTTGTTACATCTGCTTTAAAATTTAATTTTATTATTTTTATAATAATTAAATAATGTTAAAATTACAAAATTTGATTTTATAGTTATGAAATTTATGTCAATAATTTTATTTCATGATTTTTTTAATTTATATAAACTGAATTAAAAGTCAAGTGGTCTGACAAGTGACCCACTAGTCTGATCAGTAATTCAGGGATCCAATAACTTAATCGAATCAATGATCGATTCAACTTTTAAAACTATGTTCTTTTCACTCATCATCTCATTCTTCTCTCAAATTAAATCTTTTTTTTATATATTTCTTTCTTTTTTTATTTCATTATTTTATCTTTTATACCCTTCTTATAGTTACTAATTTATTTTTATTTTTTCAGTCTATCACAATGCAAATGAATGTAAAAACATATGAAGTAGAAAAACAAAACAAAGGAACACGGGAGAGTATAAACAAATATTTTAGATTTTTTATAGTTATTAATTTTTTTTTTAGATCTATCAAAAATGTAAATGAAGGAAAAAAACACATAAAAAGTAGAAAAATAAAACAAAAGAACACAAGTGAATATAAACAAATAAAAACAATTTAATTAAAAAATCTCAAAATCTAAATATAGATAAATCTAACTCATTTTTTAAAGGTGTAAAAAAAAAACTCATTTTCTAAAGTTTGTTATTGTTTTTAGTGTATTTGTAAAATAAGACATATATTTAAATTAATATTACTAAAAATATTAATTAATTTATTTTTAAATTTTTATAAAATTAAATAATTATTTTATCAAAAATTGAATAATATTCAATAGTCGCGCAAATAACTAATTTTCTGTCTCACGGATCATTATCAATCTTTTGATTACGTTACTATTATATTACAATCTTTGATTACATTCATATATAAGCACAATGTAGAAGCCATGCATAGCATCATAGAAGCTTTTAGCAATGGATGATCAAAAATTGCAACTATATACATTAACATATATACATCATATATACAGATGCATGTTGGAAGGAAGGAAGCCAACTAATAGACACTTGATCAAATGCTTTGTCACTTGTCAGAAATCACACTTCATCGTGTTCTCGAGACGTGTCATTAGAATATTTGTTCATCAGATGGAGTATAAGGAGCTCAATCAGTAACAAAGTTCACTCATATCGGACTTGCTCTTGAAATCTGCGATGAAAGAAAGGTCATGTGAAATCTTCAAAATGGCTAAGCCGCGGTGATAACTTCAATTTCGACGAGTATACTAAACAAAACAATATGAAAAATAAAGTGAACCTGATTCTTTGAACTTGTAGCAGTAGTCCACGACGAAGGATGGCTCGAGCTGGATGTCTCGTCGGTGTGGCTGATGAAAGTATACGTTCCTCGTGGTTCTTCCTGTATACTATCTGTAACTGGAGGTGGCAATTCTCTAATTATCCATAACAAATAAGCTGACGGCAAAGACGAACCTAAAAATTTAACAAAACAATCACTTTCGGTTTCCATATTCAGTAATCAAAAGCTCAAAAGAACACATTTTGATGAAGAAATTTAGCAAAAGTATCGATAGTGTTTCCATACTACTAACATTAAGGCATAGTGATTACCTATAAAATAATAAAGGATCAAGAAAACAAAAGCTTTAACTCCATATATGAACTTTAAATGCCAATGATAGAAAAGCTGTGAAAATGCACAAGGTTAAAACGGCGTGAGTACAGAAAACCTACCATTACGGAAACCAGCATAAAACACTGAAGGCAACTAAACTTACAGGTATATCTGTGTTGAGAGCTACTAATGCAGTTGATGAAAAACATATAATTGAAATAATAGCTAAACTGATAACCTGCATGCGCAGCAAATCCGTCATTATAAGGCTCAAAATAAAATATTTATAGCTTAAGATATTGTCAAGAGTTTTGCAAGAGACCTTCCACATTTCTGATGAAGCGTTTTCAGATCGTACTTTCCTTAATTTGAAGAATAGAAGAAAACCTGTAGAAAGAAAAGATTGATGGAGAAGAGAATAAGTGACATAATGGATTGTAAACTATAAGATAATTAGTCGTTGAAGGGAGAGAAACAATCCAGAGTAGTTTACCATAACAGCCTAATCCTCCAGCCAATATCAGTATCAATATTGCAAGAAATGTTTCATATACCTACAAGAGTTGCGATTTGAAAATGTTAATGTGCCAACGCCCTTTTAATTTGTTAACGTCATTGTTCACTAGATGAAAAAATATTTTAGAATGTGTAGCAGAATTTGGTCAAATATCGGCAGTAGCATCTCTATAGCATTGTTATGTAACAGAGTTTGAACACCGATAAAAAGCTAGGTGATGCATAGAGTAGTGTTCAATACCCGAGCAACAATTGACGGATCTATCGGATTCGTGACATCGCCAACGCAGATAAGTATAGCAAATGCCATCATCACAGCAAAGATCAGAACCACAATCTGGAGGAAGAAAAATATCAAATCCACATGACATAAGAATTTAGCATCTTCTATTTCTCGGATACAAAGAATTTTAGTGATTGGACGTATTTTTAACAAGGAAAATTTCCGTTGATCTATTCTCTCTACCATTATGACATATTTCTGTCGGCTACCGATGTGAATTCCTTGGATTGAGCAGCATCTATGGTGGAATTTTTTGGGAGCTGAACCGTGTTGTTCCCTCATCACACCTTCCAACAAGGCCTGCTGCGACCTATTTTCGACATTATCCTCATCGTCCAATTCTTCTTCATTTTCCTGATGGCAAAGGTCGACCCTACAATATTATTGTCCACAAAAACATACATACACTTTATGAATAACTATTTCACCAAGAAGAGGCTTAACGTGTATGCGGCTACTAACTAACGTATCAAACAAATGTTGTTATGTGCAATGCAATATATATTTTAATTCATCCATAGTATGGCATACCAGAACGATAGTAGGAGTAGAAATGCTGCTAAAAACATGACTTTGGGAGCAGCTGCAGAAATTTTTTGTTAGGAAGAATGCTTAGTAATCAATCGAGTTTCCAATAAAGAGACATTGAAAACATGAATTTTGAATGAACATACCCATAAGAATAAAACCACAAACACTGGACCAGCAATACCACCCATTACAAGTAGCAAAAACAGTACTTGTAAAATAGATACAGTATCCTGCGAATACAAGTAGAAAAATACGTTAAAAAAAATATAGAGTTGAATGAATAGAGTAAGGCAACACATAAAGTTTCCTATTTCCGAATTTTAACACATTGAACTACAAAGCGAGCTAAATCTTACCTAAGTTGGAAGTGCCAATCATGATATGAAGTACCTGAAAAACATTAGAATGTACTTCAAACACTAGCATCAATAAAGACAGTTTGAAAGAAGAAAAAACTGATCAGATGCCACGAACTTTTTGCCGAGTCCAATCATTTTGTTGACTTCGCAAATGAATCCGGAGGACCTGCCATGTGATAGTGCAAAATTTAGTCAAACACTTGGAATGCAATCTACTAATTTATCTATTAATTTTACCAAACACTTCAAATGCATTATATCAAACACTTCATCGTGTTAGGCAAGGTAAAGTCATTAATTTTGTCAAAAACTTGGAATGCAATCTATTGATTTATCTGATAATTTTATCAAACACTTCAAATGCAATCCGGTGCAAAAACCGACCTACTATCATTTGGGGTTTCCCATGTAATAAAAAACTTTCCTTTTTTGCCTTAATCCCAAATTCCAGCATCTAAATGGTTCCCTAAAGATACCAATGAAAAAAGGGCTTTTAAAAAAAGCTATTCCCCACCCCATCAAATCATCAACAATTCACCTATCAAAATATTTGAATGCTACGAACCAAAAAGACAAGAAATGAAAATTGAAACCTGGGCAAATGCAATGAAGGCAAGAACTCCATCTATGCAAGCTAGAGTTACATTGAAGATGATCAAATCAAGAGTTAAGCAATTCCAATTCTCAGTCATAGATTACAACAAACTATAACAAGCTTAGGGTGAAGAAAAAAACAACAGCAAAGAATGATTAATCAGAGAAGGAAAAAAAAGACAGAGTGACAGATAGACAGTATAGGACTAGGTAGAAGACGTTGTTGTCTGTCTCTATTTCTTGACTTTGGCAACAAGTTTTCGACCATTATTATATTTTATTTACCATGACTTTCCTCATTGACCCGTTTTAAATTATTATATTTTTCGTCTTTGTTAAATCTACTTAGTTTCTAAATGTTTTATGGATTCGAATCCACAGCATATTCATTCATTTTAATGCGTTTTAAAAAAGTGTAAACAAAATTGACATATTTGACTTATCGGTAAGTTTTGCCTACCTAGTTAACCAACCTGCTTATAAAAAGAAATGATTTTTCTTCTAAACCAATGTAATCAAAATCTTTGTCTTTTGGAATTTACCATAAAACTAATGTTAGTATACTAGTAGTATATAAATAAATAAAAAACAAATATTATAGTGTATGGTAGTTGTGGCAACTATGAAAAACTAATCCTAGTTCTATGTATTTGTTAAAAAGAGAATAAGGTGTCTTTGTCAAACTTTTATGAAATGTTAAAAATTAAGGACTGATTTTTCATGGTGAATCAATGTTAAGGACAGAAAATGAATATTCTATCTGAATTTGGTATTGAGAATGACTCTGTTTAGATCCTTGTTTTTCTTCTTCAGCTTGGGAGATGAAATATTAAAATTTGGATTTCAAAATGGTATTCATTTGCATATAATGTGGAAGAATAAAAACGAAGATTCTAACTATTTCAAAAAATCCCATGTTCACCAAGAGATCCAGCCCATGCATAAAGTGGCACAAAGCTTACTTTAGTTCCAAACAAAACATATTTTTCATTGAAGGGCTTAGGCCTCCAAACAAAAAATATGAATATCTAGACAATTTTTTTTTTCCACTTTAGTTGTGTGAATTAGGAATATCCGTGGTGCAGTTTAGATCAATTTTAAGGTAAAATATCAACTGATATAAATGAAAATTTATTTACGGTTGGATTCAATTTAGAATTATTAATTAAAAACTCAATCACATTTGGTTTTTATGTAGTTTAATTTAGATTGATTTTTAAATATTCAAATTATAAAATGTATTTTTTATTAAGATTATTAAAATGTTAATAAATAATAAATTTAATATAATATATATTATAGAGTATTTAAAAATTAATATTACAAAATGATAATTATTTATTATGATTGAATCAAATAAAATAATAAAAATAAATAGATTAAATTAAGGTAATAAATAGTATTAAAAAAATAATTTCCATCAAATAATAAATTAATACAATATATTATATTAATAAAAAACAAATAAAGATAAATAAGTATACAAAAATTATATATGCGGTTCAATTCGGTTTGGATGGGTTTCAAAAAATCAATCAGAAAATCCGATCCAAATCAAACGGTTTTTACAAAATAAAATTCAAACACATTCAATAGTATTTGATTTTTTTGTGATTTTCAATTTTTTTGGGATCAATTTGCAATTTTATTTGGATCACTTTGGATTTGAACATCCCTAGTGTGAATCGCGCATCTGAAAACTCAAAAATGTCCTCAGTAATTTCGGAGATGCGTCTCCGAACGCATCGTCACTCCCTTTTTTCTAAAATTTAGTTCAGAGATGCATCTGCGAAAATTACTAGGGTTTATTCGGAGATGCATCTTCGAAAATATCTCTAAACTCATTTTCCCAACGTTTTTCAATGAGAATTATCATTTTATTCATTCAATGACATTTTTTGGAGATACATCTCCGAAAATGTCAAGCGGGAAATTGAATATATCACCACATTGCATGATCATCTCTCACATACTTCATTCATCCTCCATAACCCAAAACCCTTAAAAACTTTCATTCTCAAATAATTTTTCGACTCCAAAACATCATTCTTGTGTTTCATCACATCAAAGAGAGCAAAAGAAGCTACAATTTAAGGTAAAATTCACGTATTTCATCCCGCATTGCTTGCATTTATCTTGTTTTGTAGCTGAAAAAAATATACGTTGAGTCCGGAGATGCATCTTCGAATTCACCTTCTACCTGGTTCGGAGATGCATCTCCAAATTCGTCTGTTACTATAATTTTTTTATTTTTTTATGTTTTGGTTTGAATTAGATATGGTGCACTCAGATATGTTTCCCAAATGTGTTGTAAGTATTGATTTAAAACCCGATGAAGTGAAGGAAGATGTTAAATCGGATGAGGTAAATGATGATGTGGATGAGATGAAGAATGATGTTAAATCGAATAAGGTGAAGAAAGATGTTAGACCGGTTGATGTCAAGATAGATGTTGGTCAACACTTTACAAATAAACAATTGTTTACTGCTTGTGAACATATGCTTGAAAGGGTTCGCATGGTGTTCGAGAAATTGAGGTTTGACATTGTAATCGAAATATTCTTCAATGGTTCTACCCGAAGGCAAACACTTGTTACCATGGGATATGAGAGAAGTGGCACATATGTTCCATCGATTCATAAGTTGAAATATGTTGACACCAGATTAACGAAATATGAGTGCACGTTTAAATTGCGTATATACAATAAGGCAGATGATACATAGAAATTTAATGGGATTTATGGTTTATATAATCATGCATTGTAATCCAAGCTAGTTGGCCATCCCATCATATGTCGCCTTAAACCAGTGGAGAAGGAAATTGTTTCAGACATTTCTTTAATTAGTGTGGCGCCTAAAAACATACTTGCAAATTTGAAACAGAAAAGACCTGGAAGTGTTTCAAATATCAAGCAGGTATACAATATGCATTATCGAAACAATATGGCGATAAGAGGTCTGAGATCCGAAATGCAACTACTTTTGAAGCTTTTTTATGACAACCACTATGTTTCTAGGTACAAAATTTATGAGGATAAAGTCACTGTCTGTGAAATATTTTAGACTCATCCCAAAAGTATCAAGTTGTTCAACACATTTTCCATTATTCTCATAATTGATTCAACATATAAGACGAACCAGAATAAACTTCCACTTTTGGAAATTGTTGGTGTTACATCTACAGAGAAGACTTTTTCAGTGGAATTTGCATTTTTGGAATCCGAAAAAGAGGACAAAGTTACATGGGCATTGAAAATGTGCAAGACCTTATTGAAGGACCAAGAAAACATGTCGAAGGTAATTGTCACAGATCGAGACACCTATTAATGAATTTGGTGGTAAAGGTGTTTCCTACATCTTACAAATTACTTTGCCGATATCACATAACAAGAAATGTGAGAAGTTGGCTCAAACTCGCGTTAGGCATCAAACCACTCAAGGGTGAAGACGGGAAAATGGTCAAAACTGGTGTGGTGTTAGAAAAGATAATGGATGCATGGAGTAGTATACTAAGCTCATCCATAAAAGCCTTGTATGTTGCCTCTGTAATGCATTTCAGGAGTATCTGTTCTAGATATCCAGATTTCCTAAAATACATTGAGAGTACTATTTTTGACCAAGTGAAGGAGAAAATTGTTTGTGCTTGGATCGATCAGGTTAGACACCTCGATAACACAATAACTAACAGAGCCAAATATGCACATTCGACATTGAAGAAAAGGTTGGGTGATAGTGAGAGTGATTTTTGTAGAGAGTTGGACGTCGTGAATTAAATGCTCCAAAACTAACATAATAAAATACAAACAACTTTTGGTCGAAACATGACGGTGTTAGAACACAGATTCAAATACAATGATGAGTACTAAATTGTTGTGAATTTTAGTGTGAATAATTAGCACTCATCGGCTTAATTCATTTTTTTTTTGTCAATAAACCCCAACTTTAGTATATATTCGGTATAGTTTATGTTATAGTGTATATATTGTGTTATTGTGTAAACATCATTGAGTTTAATTGATTTTATCTCATTTTTTAGGTATTCAAGCATTGATATTTAGGTATTGTTAGATAGATCATTGAATAAGCTTTCTAACGCTCCCGACCGTGCGCAAATCAGAGTTACAATTCTCAAGTTATGACCGAAACAATGTTGTTTTTCTCAAGTTACTGTCAGACAGCGCCCCGAGAGCGCGGGGCGGTGCAAAGGCACTCCAGAAACGTGAAAATGCACTAGAATTGTTGTTTTGAGCACCGGGTGGTGCCTTTTCACCGTCGGGCAGTGCGGGCTGGGCAAAAACGCATATTTAGGTCAAAAAACATATTTTTAGGTTATGGTTGGGTATTTTTGGTCTCAATTCATCAAACCTTCATTCTTTGATTATGAGAGCTTAGAAATAACATTTGGAGGTTGCAATCGGATGACCTGGAGTCAAATTTCTCATTGATTGGAGTTGACAAACCAAGAAATATTTGGTTCATTTTCTTTTCTTCTCTTTGTCATCTCTATTTGTTGGAGTTTATATGTATATTTACCTTGATTATATGTATATTTATTGCTCATGGTATTGTATAAAACACATTTTACAAATCAATATTAATGATTACTTTCTTTATGTTGATTTGATTCGTTGCATACATGGATGGATTGAGTTCCCATTTAGGATGAACATCTATTGGATTTTAATGCTAGAGATAAATTAAGGCTTAATATTCATTTGAATATTAGAGCTTAATGCTTCTGTGTTGTTTGTGTTGCGCTGAGAGATCGCCGAAGCGAGTAATACGATTGTTGTCTCAATCTGTGTTAGAGATAACCTTTGTGTGAAAGATACGTGATAATATTGACGAGTGATTTAGGTCGAGTACAACTGAGTAGTAAGTTTAATTATTTGATAGGGTAGATGAAATGCAAACCCGAGAGTCTCTATGTTCCGAAGAATGAATTCTTTTTCTGTTAATAACTTTAATTCCCACAGTTACCTTTTATACAAACCAGCCCAATTTAACCTCAAACTCATAAACGCGTGAAATTTTTGAATGGAAATTCAGTAGCATTAATCTTTGTGGAGACGATATGATATAACCTATAAAAATACTT